TAGAAGTTGCTATTGTCAGCAGCCAGTTTACTCAGGACGTGACTTCGAGGTCGGCCTCAGTGAGTGCCTTTTCCTACTGAGACAAATGGTACAGTTTTACAGAACATTTTGCTGGAGGTGGGTTATGAGCGTTGGAAAAACAGCATCTGGGAAATACTGGTTTATTACAGCATTATGACTTGACTTCTCACCCTGCAGAGTTACTAAACACACACTACAAAGCAATTATCTAAGTTATATCCAGATGACATACCACAGATGTGTTACACTGGACCTAAAGGCTCACACTATATGCTGTCTCCTTGGCTAGTCCATGTGGTTATGTTTCAGCATGAATGCCAGTGGCTAGGTTACTGTTCAACTTGATTGAAGCAGATCTTGGAAAAAATGCAAAATTTCAAGGAGCTGCTGAGGCCAAAGCAATCTTTCAGGTACTGTATAAGGTACGGATTTGTTTTGGTTCAGTAGTGCAATCCTATTTATCCTCGAAGAAACAAATTCTTTTTCTTTGCATTAATGATTTGCAGGTCCAGAGAAGAGCAGAGAGGGTGGTGAAGGCACTCGAGCACAAGTCCTATGAGGAGAGGCTGAGGGAGCTGGGGTTGTTTAGCCTGGAGAAGAGGAGACTCAGGAGTGACCTCATCACTCTCTACAGCTCCCTGAGAGGAGGTTGTAGCCAGGTGGGGGTTGGTCTGTCCTCCCAGGCAATCAGCAGTAGGACAAGAGGGCACGGGCTTAAGCTCTGTCAGGGGAGGTTTAGGTTGGATATTAGAAAGAAATTCTTTACAGAGAGAGTGATCAGGCATTGGAATGGCCTGCCCAGAGAGGTAGTGGATTCACCGTCCCTGGAGGCTTTTAAGATGAAGTTGGATGTGGCACTGAGTGCCATGATCTAGTAATCACAGTGGGGTTGGATCAAGGGTTGGAGTGGATGGTCTCGGAGGTTTCTTCCAACCCAGTTAATTCTATGATTCTATTCTATGATTTTCTTTATGCTTTTCAAGGCAGGGTAAATTTTAACCCTATTTTACATGACACACTAGTTAAGCTATGCTTATGATGATTTGGTGTCATCCAGCACAAAAAGCTAACTAAAGGCTGAGCTTGTTGAGCCTGATGAGCCTGCAGTCCCAGCCATAGGAGTACTTTGTGTATGATGACTGGATAGCTGGAAAATGAATGCAAGTTGTGGGGTTTGTTTTGTTTTGTTGGTTTTGGGGTGTGGGTTTTTTTTGTTGTTGTTGTTTTTTGTTCTTTGGTTTTTTTTTTTTAAATAGCATGGTAGAAGTTGGAAGGAACCTCTAGCAATCATCTGGTCCCACCCAATGCTGCTCAAGCAGGACCACCAAGAGCTGTCCACTCAGGACCACGTTCAAAAGTTTGAGTATCTCCAAGGACGGAGACTCCGCAACCTAAGCCAGTGCTCAGTCACCTTGACAGTAATGAAGTGTTTCCTGATGTTCAGAGGGAACCTTCTGTGTTTCAGTGTGTGCCCACTGCCCCGGTCCTGTCACTGGGCACTGCTGAAGAGAACCTGGCTCCATTTTCTTTCCACCCTGCTGATGAGTATTTATGTATATTGATGAGATTACCCCTGAGATGTCTTTCCAGGAGATATCAGGGTGGTTGAAGTCCCCTATGAGGGCCTGCAGAGGTGAGACTCATAGTCTCTGTAAATTTAGGCAGAGGTACTGATAATGTCCTCCAGAATATATGGAAGAGGTACACATCCATCCAGTGTTCCTGTCCATTGTAGCTCTTCCAGAACTGAGCACTTTAGTGGAGAGTAAAGTACTTTAGGGAGAATATCTGCCATTCCTTTATTTCTTCCTGCAGGTCCTTTGAGTTCTTACATGCTGTTTTTTGGTGGTTTCTAATTTCCCTTATTTGTTGCATTTTTCCCTGTGCAGGAGGGATGAAGAGAACAGGAATTCCATCACCATCTTCTCATTTTGTGTTGTACTTTCAAAATCTTTGCACATCAATCCACTTTTCCTCCTGTGAGTTCCTCAAGAGGTAATTATATTTGGTTTTTGCTTGTTAGGAAGCCTGGTGTGTGGTGTAGTCTGCCAGTCATGTCCCTCATGAGTAAGAAAAATAAATGTGGAGACCTGTGAGTGAGGAATTTTCTAGAGAAATCTGAGGGGCTTTACAAAGCAGGATGATGGTGATCTTGTGCTGTACCAGGGCTCTCCTCCTGATCCTTCTTTCCTTGGAAAGGCAAATTCACCAGTGTGCCATCTTTAGTATAACTGAGCTCCCCTGCTGCATGATGAAGGTTGCCAACTTGGACTCTGCTACAAGCTCTGTAAGACAGTCTGTGTTGGCAGCTACTGCCAGTTCTTCAGGCTGCGAAATCATGCAGCAAACTATAAACGAGTTGAGGCATCTCCTCCCTCCTACTCTCTTCAGAAGCATACTTGTAATGCCCCAGATGAATGTGAAAGTGCCTTAACTTCTACCAACACATCTAGGCAGAGTACAGGCTCCATTTATTGAAGGAAGTTTTTCCTGTCCATTTGGCCAGAAATGTTTTCTGTTTGCTGCCTCATTCCGTAGCTGTTTGCAGTCCTATTTTAAGTACTATTTGGATAATGTATAATCTATATCTGTGTAAAGTTAAGCAGTTTATAGCTCTGTACTACGTGTTATTATTATTAGTAGTATTATGTATAGTATTATTTTTCTATTATTTTCAAGTATGCTTGACTTTAAGAAATTATTCCCACCTAAATAAGTAATTTAATCCCCCTGAACCTGTTTTCCAGAATGATAATGGTGCAGTTTCTGAAGGACAGAGAAGTGTCTTTTAGCAATGTCAGCAATCCAGTGAAGGACTTGCTCAAGCAAACTGTTTCGAATCCTGGATTCATACAAATTAGGAAGTTTGAACAAGGAAAAAATCTACAGGTCAGTCTAGACTTTCAGAATTACCTCAAAACACCTTCTATTGAAGGTTAGCTTACCCAGAGTTAAGACCTTGCTCTGCTTTCTATTTTTGGTGGAAGTAACATACCAGCAGAAGGTGGGATTAAGGCACACAGGTGGCTTTCAAACAGCTCCGAGTATGTTCAACCCCATGTCTCTCTGGTACCATTTCCTAATCAGGAGAAAAGTTCTCTTATTTTCTTCCAAAAATGAACTCGAATGCGATAGAACTTCAGTGTGGAATGCATAATCAGTGGCCTTAGTGCAGTCCAGCTGCCAGCGCTTGTCGGTGTGCTGTGGTTCCCAGTGCCTGGAATGTTACCTGTTTCAGAGAACTGTAACCTCTGCACACATGAAGAGATACTTACTTACCTATACTGGAAACAATGGGATGGTGTTTTCCCGAAGAAACAGTATCCCTGCAGTCCAGTGTATCGACAAAAGGCAGACATTTTTAATTCAAAACGTAATTTGTTCATAGTGTCAAGTTAGTTACTGCTTTTAATGTAGAGGTAGGGCAACTGCACAGTGACACTGACGGTGTACAGGAATGGGCCTGAACTAAGGACTTTTTCCAGGCAAAGGCAGGAATTTACGTGGTCACCATCTTATCATACAAACTGTAAGCAGCATAACAGCCTGACTGACAGTAACAGCACCCTCCCCCCCCCCAACAAAAAAAAAAAAAAAAAGAAGCAAGTAGAATTATGTTTTCAGTTGAATTGCCTGTACCTTCAATCATGCCTTCAGTGTACAAATCAAGTATCTTCTATGTAACAGGAGGCTGGACACAAAGTTCTTTCATGTTCAAGGAAAGCATAAACAATTCCAGAGCTGACATAGATGGAGTCTATGCCTCACAGGTGTGAGAAAAGGGATCTTTATATAAATTGGAGTCAAACTCCAAAAGGTTTAATATTACAGAACTGTAGGCAAAAGTATCTTTCCATCTCCCTTTCAATAAAATCAAATTCAACCGAGGAATTCTAATCTACACCCAGCATTGTAGGGAAAATGACCCATTTTTAAGAGATTGCAAAAAGCAGTTACATTTCTTTTGGAACTGTAACAAAACAATTAAAATTAGAACGACTTTCTACATATTCTTCCCGTGTCTATATCCTGTAAGAGAAAACTTCTACGCAATTAGCAACTATAAATTAATATTCATGTTTTAATTTTAAGGAAATTAAGAGCTTTTTAAACAAAATAACACATAAATATCAAAGCCTCTAATTTACAAGATTTGTTTCAGTGACTTTTACTTTAAAATCAGAATGAAAATGTCTTTGAAAAAGACAACTCTTATAGAGAACCACATTTAAAATGTGTTAAGAAATATTAGTTTTATTTAACCAGTTTTCACAGCTGAATATTTATTCTATAAAAACTTTACAGATTGTACAGTTTATATATAGTTCAAACTACTAGAACAAAGAAGTAGGTCCCACAGATGCAAAAATACTGTACCAATCCAAGGTAAAGGCAGATTTACACACTGTACAGCTCTCCACTGGGAAGGGGAGGTGGGTCAGTTCCAAGTAAAAACTTCAAAACTGTACAAAAATAAGGTTTGATTTCTTTTTCATTCTTCATAATACATTCAATAAGATTGCAAGCACAGATACCCAAGTAATAATAGATATCTGCAGTCAGGAATCAATAACCACTCCTGAAAGGAATGCAAAATAGGTCTATTTACACAGGGCACTCTTTTACACCATACTGCATATAGTGTATATTTCAAATAATAAAAAAGCATAGACAAAGAACATTAAACATCTAATATAAGGTAGTTTTTTTAAAAGGTTTTTTGTTTTTTTACTTAATAGTGTGCCAAAAGAATTTTAACTTATTAAATAATATATTCTAAGTGAAACTAAAATTTATGAACATAAAATGCATTTTTGGTGTAATACATCAATTAAACCAGCAAATAGGAAAAAAAAGAACCAAAAACAAAACCCAAACTGTATATAAAGTAGTATTCTCACCCAGCAACAGAAGCACTTATGTAGTTATTAAAAAAACCCAGACAAAACAAAGAACAAAAAAAAAAAAACAAAAAAACACCCCAAACAAAAAAAAAAAACCCAAAACCAACAAAACAAAAACAAACCCAGAGAGGCTTTTTAAAAACCCACTAAAACTAACTTATAACTTAGGATATTCATACATAAGATATTCAGTGATTCACTAATACTGCAAAACAAGCTTTTTTGTGTTGGTTTTTTTTTTTCCTTCCCCCTTCCATTTCCCTCCCATTTTCCCTCATTCCCCTTCCCTAAGAGACAGTGGTTTCTTCATGCTGTCTGGGTAAGAGTCAAACATATTCCTGCCCCCTTCCTCCCACCCCTCTATACCTCCCCCCAAAAAAGGGATAGAGTGTTTTCTTAGCATTCATCCTGAGCACACTCTCTTTTTGGGGATATGTGTGAATTAACCTTAATAGGGTTTAGTTCCCCAAAATTTCAGAATGTTCCATTACTTGAGGTATTTCAACCTTCTTTTGAGACAACGACTTGTATCTTAGCTGACTCATTGGGCAGAGAAAGTAAGGGCTGGCTAATACCCGTTTCAATTCTGTATTCTCATGAAAAAGAAAAGCATTATTCCAGACTTCCCTGCCACACAGAAAATAATGCAACACCATTCACTTTTTAATTAATTCTCTATTTGATACAGTACTAGCCAAAGATAACAAAAACTAGAGCTTTTAAAGAGATGTTTGGTAGTGCACTCTATCATTTTTTAGCTTGTGTGTGTGTGTCTACATACACACTCTCACACACATATTACATTTATATATATATAAAAGACATATATATATGCACACACAAACACTTGTGTGTGTGTATATATATCTGCATGTAACAATCATGGAAAAAGGAGTTTTGTTCAAATTTTAAGTGATACAGTACTTTTAAACCCCTTGACAATAAAAGGGGAGGGGTGTGTGTGTGTCCACTCCTGTTCCCAAGTTGAACAAGGGGTTAGTTTATATAGGATTTTTTTTAAATGGGCATATTTTGTTTGCCCCGATGTCCAAGAAATACAATTCCAGTGTCAATGGGCACCTCATCAGAACTCATCAATTCTGTTCTGCAGGTATTTTAACATTGAGTCCATCCCTTGTGCTGAGCCCCAGATTTTCTTCAAAACTTCACACTCCTTTTCGTTTGCTTGTTCCAAGTCCACCTTCATGATGTTACGTACTAAAGCTTTGGATTCTTCAAGTACCTATGCCAAAAATAAAAAGGGGGAGATGGGTTAGCATCACATGAGAACTCAGCAATGTGTGCACTTACAGGTTATATGGACGGATCCAGAAGTTGATTATGAACTCATCAATTCATAGGCATACTATGACTATAAGAAACATTTCTCATAGTCTTCCTGTAGCATCACACAACATTTCCTTTACCTTACAGCAGCACAACTTAAAAGAGCACAAAAATGTGGAAATAATGAAAACAATAAAATAACAATTATATGGTCTTATAACTAGGGAAAACTCCAGGTCCATTTTGGTGAGCACATAACACTATTATTCAGTAGAGTTTTAATAACTAGGCAGACCTTGAATTTCTTGAACATTTAAGATACACTGAAAAAATTCTCATCTGCTTTTCCGTTTAGAAAACTATTAGCTTGCTTTAAAATCCAAAATTTCTAATGCATAGAACAGTTATTTTGAATTGCACCTTTCCTTGAAAGAAAGCATCAAACAGTGGCTGTTTTAGCTGTCTTGTGCCACTGCCAGTAGTGCACACAACGAGTGTTACTTGTAATACTAAGTTCAACATAACGTCAAAGATTATTTATTTCCTTGGTAATTTAAATTACAACTCAAGACAATTCAAGTGTTTCTGTGCAGATATTAGGGGCAACTGTTTACATTGTTGGTTAGAGTAAGTTGGACTTAAACAACTATGTTAAAAGCAAAGTATATTATAAAAAATCCAATGCTCGCTTATGTTCTTATTATATGCCACAGTACATCATGGTTAAGAAGGGTCAGATATAAATTAAAAACAAAAAAAAATCCTAAAAACCCCAGAAACATGCATAAAAATATGCCAATGAACATTGCTGTACTATAATGCAGTCCTTGTTTCATGAAAACGACCTTTTTTTTGTCTTTGGAGGACAAAACGATGCAGTCTAATAATACTTTTAGTAATTTTTATTCATCTAATCATAAAAATGTAAGAAAATAAAGGAAACTTACAACTGAATGGCATGTGACAAGTTCTTTAATTCGAACCATTACTTCTTGTGTGAATGTTCCCGGCCAAAACACTTGAGAGACGAGTCCTTTGGCACAAGCTTCCTGCGCCGTCAACTTCCTTCCACTGAACAACATTTCATTGGCCTGAAGGGATAAAAAGTTACTTCTGGCATGAAATGTAATGAGACAAAACTCATTAAAGGAAAAATGTTTGAAACAAACAAGAAAAATGCCTGCACTATTTGAAATAGTTTTTACTATAGCTCTTCCAAGTTTTAATTGAAAAAGACTGGCCTACAGAGAGTTGGTCCATGTTGTTGACAATACTATGTCAGTAGTTACTAAAATATGGAGGTCTACGATTAAGGGTTAAATGTGAAAGCATCTTTTGTCATTTCCTGGCTGTGAATATTTGTTAACTCTGGCTTTCTTGCAGTATTGCTGACTTGGTCATCTGTATACATGGTAATAAGTTATAATGCCTGGCAAATTTGTAAAACAACAAAGAATACATCAGCTTGCCCTTTATAATAATGTATTCTAATTTCTGAACAAAGTCGTAGAAAATAAACATTCACATCTTCAGGAGTTCAATATTGAACGGATAAATCTTTTCAAAATCGTATATAGCAGTCTTATTAAAAACCAACAGTATTTAAAAGGTCTTGCACATAAAGGTACAGAACTGACTACTACACTCTATGCAACAAGGTGGTCTCCAATTCTGTAAATATTTTTGATTTGTAATTATCATGCACTTTCCTATTTACTAATTTCCCCATTAAAGCTTTGCCCTACAATCACTTTAATTCTACCTTTAGTGAAGTTTCTTATATAGTTAAACTTTGTCTGCAGTGACATCTGCATGGAAACAGCCAATGCAAACTAAAAAGTCAGAGTAATCATAAATCTCAAAGAAAAAAAAATCGGTTTTACTGTTTCCTAATGACTTATTTGCATGAAAAGTGTGACAAACCCATTACTGGACTCTTGAAACATACAAAATAAGGCTGCTATAAAACACCCAAACCTGAGGGCAAAATTCTGAGTTTTTAATGTTTTTTAATACTGGAAGTTTTGGTAATTACGTCAACAACTTTCAATTAAGGACCTCAAATTATCTATTTACTGTGGGTATTGACATTTTAAACACGAAGCAATTTGAAGTCTAATATCTGCAGTCTATTACTTGCCTGTTTGTAATGAAATACAAAATCTGGATTCTACTGGCATTTCCTTCCTTACAATTTATCATTGGCACATCTCTCATAGTTAATACAGAAAGCTGTGATTCACACATATTAATTTATAAAACCCATACATCTCTTGCAATGTGATCAAATTCTCTACCCCTATAGTTCTACCTTCTGTGAATACAAAATCAAATATAAATGTTCATTAACCATTCCTTCTAATTTTCCACAATATATGTGAATAATAATAACCTGAAACACTGCTAAAGACCAGTGATGTACACAAGCTTGTCTAAAAAAGAGATATCCTTTTTCCTAAGCAGATGTGGATATTCTTCCAAAATAATTTTGAAAAATACTAAATGTTTATATCAAAGGTCAAAATGTGAAGTCAATCTAAATGGTAATTCGGAAAGGCAAAAATTTAAGTCATCTGGTCAGGTCTACATATTCTTCACATGTGTCTTTGGTAGCATAGATAAAAATTAATGGTAAAAATCTTGATAGGTTTTTTCCCTAAAACTTAGTGGCAACCGCTAAATTCTCCTGAACATGGAAGAACGTTAAGTGGGAACGGTGCGGTTAGCTTATTTCTGCCATCTGTAACACAATATTAGCATAAAGCCTCCCACAAAATGAGCATTCCCATTCCTATTCTCTCACTTGACAGGTTTTGAAGGAAAATATCTTGCTCTGGCATCTTCACTTCTGATCTATACACAATATATGCTGAAGACCCACTGCTATACAAGCTTTAACCATATAAGCACTCCTTGTACCTGCTGTAAAAATTAACCCACTTGTGGTTACTTTCCAAGAAAGGTAATATAGCAATAGAAATGAGGTTGATAAAAATATTTCAGTAACATAGGAATCTCATTAGAAACCTTCATTTTCTACCCAGTCTGTCTTTCTCTTTCCACAGAGGAACTTCCTCTCGTCTCTCTTTCACAATGAGGGCTTTGAGGTTCACCAGGACCTTTCATGCAAGGCCACAGGCACTGGAGCCACAGAGCATCTCAGTTCTCTTGCATTATGATCAGGAAGCAGCTGGTCTCTGGAAAACCTGAGATCCTGGCTCTGATGTGGACTACAGGCACTATGGAAATGTGTAAGCCTCATGACTGCACAAGAAATACTGCCAAACATACTGGGGACTGACAGGGAAACCCAGTGTGTGATGCTTGATCACACAGTTCCTGTGCTCTATATTCAGACCAGACAACAAGGGCAAGAACTCCACAGCAAACACACAATAGCATCTCTCTCCATACAGACATCACCTTAATCTCTATTGCAGATTATTTTTATACTCAAAAGCTAAGTTTGAGAACACTTCAAAAATTCTTGGTATTCCCAATACGCAGTATATCAGTTTTGAATTCTAAGGTTTGGGCTCCAGATTTCCTGTAATAAGATCACTGTTGAATGGGTTCTGTGAAAAAAACCATCCATGATAGACCTGCTCACTAGCCAAGGCTGATCCCACAGGAAAGATATTTCCAACAATCTTGCAATTGAAGATTTTCACTTAGCTGCTGCTGCTAACATTGCACCGAATCTGATTTACAAGAGTTACAGGCGGGACTAATATGGTTGAATTGATAAATTTGTAGAAAATTTTATGATGCATACAGAGGGCTTAATTCTTTCTTTTGTATGATATTTTAATTCCCCCCCCCCAAATGTTTTGCATCTCACTCATAACATCTTTCTGCTGACTTCTCTCTCCCTTTTAGAGATAAAAAGCATGCTGCTTTGTCAAAGTCTTCAGTATGGACTGTGAACATATTTCATGAAATCTGCTGAGTAAAGTTCAATTTTGTCCCATACAGCACCAACCTTGCTATACTGCAGAGGGTCAAGGATACTATGAAAACAGTGGATTTTTTTCTCCCCTTCTGCACTGAACATTACGGAATTGTTACCACTGGAAGCTTTCAATTTAAATCTTTATATTTAAAAATGAGAGCATTCACGAACACACATGGAAGAGTATACTAGGGAAGAGCTTCTTGTATTTTTTGTACAACTTCTAAAGAAATTAAAACAACCATAAGTCTTTTAAGGACGAGGATGGATGGAATGGATGGATGAATGGATGGATGGCCAAATAAAAAGGGAAAGGAACAATCAGTAGTTTGAAACATGCTAAATTATTAAAGATACTCTTATAACTTTTAATCTATTTCAGTTACCTTTTCTGTTCTCTTCTAATAACTAAATCCAGACATCATACAGTTAGCCATTAGATCTGTTCAAAGTGGTGTTTTAATATATTGAAATCTATATTTTTAAATCAATAAATGCCTACAGGGAAAAAACTGGCTTTTACAATAAACAGCAATTTTGGAAAAACAGGTGTAGTTATGAACACTTGTTTCATACTGGTCGAATTGGAAAGCGACTTAGGTCTAAGTTTTCAAAGAACACAGCATGAAAAACACTTAGGAACATGAAAATAATGTAGGTAAGAGGTTTTTAAATAGCTTTTTGTTACAGGTGCATGGAAGCTGAAATACTTATTTTGCATACTAGCGTAAGACTGCTGCTGCGTGGTGACACAGCGCTCTGCCATGTAACAACACCGAGTGCAGAGCACCCCATTCTCTGCCACGCTCTGATGCTGTGCTGAGTGCAAGACAGTGCTGGCTGATCCTCAGAGGCATCAGCAGGGAAGGTGTGTCTTGGTGTACAGGACACAACCCTTCCCACACCATCAGGGTTAAAGGCGCCCATGATGTGGGATTTAGTTCCACACCTGCTTTCTGTTCTGTGCACACAGGTGAAGACTAGCTTGTAAGAGCATGGGGCAGAAAAGCTATAAAGAGTGGTTTCTCATGAAAGGTTTTCATGAGAGAAAGAAAAAAAAAACTAAGAAAAAGACAACACAGCAAAGGCAAAAAGTCTTGAAATCACGCTGGATAAATTATCACAACTGAATTGTGAAGCTGTTGGCCCCTACCCTGCAAGCTACTTACAGAAGCCAGGCCCATTATCCGAGGGAATGTAAGGGATGAACATCCATCTGGACTTTGTCCAAAAGTAGTGTATGGTGTCTGAAACCAAGCCTTCTCGTTAGCCCAAACCACGTCACACAGAGGCAATATAGATGCTCCAAGTCCAATGGCTGGGCCATTTACTGCTACAATGATAGGCTTCTTAAACTGAATAAAAGTATTCACAAAATTCCTGAAGAGAAACAGAAACATGCACTCACTACATATATCGAGAGAGTAAAATACACCAGCCCTTGAAAACTCTGTAATCATTAATCTCCACAGTAACATTACTTTCAAAACCAACGTGACAACCTTCCACAATGAGGTGGTTATTTGGTGGATGAGGGGAGAGCAGTGGATATTGTCTACAGAGACATCAGTGAGGCTTTTAGCACTGTCTCCCATAAGAGTTTCATAGTCAAGCTGTTGATGTATGAGCTGGATGAGCAGACAGTGAGGTGGACTGAAACATGCCTGAATGGCTGGCCCAGAGGGCGGTGACCAGTGGCACGAAGCCTAGTTGGTGGCCAGTAATCAGTGTTGCACCCCAGGGGGTCAGTGATGGGTCCAGCACTGTTCAACAGCTTCACTCATGATCTGGATGATGGGGCAGAGTTTGCAAGTTTGCTCATGATACAAAACTGGGCTGATAGACTATAGAGTTGTGCTGCCATCCAGAGGGACCTTGACAGGCTGGAGAACTTCATGAAGTTCAACAGAGGGAAGTACAAAGTCCAGTGCCTGGAGAGGAACAACCCCAGGCACCAATATATGCTGGAAGCCAAATAACTGGAAAGCAGCAAGGCAGAAAAATGAGCTAGGGTTCCTGGTAGACACCAAATTGAACTTGAGCCAGTAGTGTGCCTTTGTGGCAAAGAAGGCCAATAGTATCCTGCACTGCTTTAGGAGGAACAATGTCAGGAGGTTGAGGGAGGTTATCCTGCCTCTCTGCTCAGCCCTGGTGTGCAGTTATGGGCTCTCCAGTGAAAGAGAGACTCAACATGGTCTAGTAAAGGGTCACCAAGATGACCCAGGGACTGAGAGAGCTGGGACTGTTCAGCCTGGAGAAGAGAAGGCTCAGGGGGTTGTCATCAGTGTGCTCACTGGGCACCACTGAAAGGAGCCTGGTTCTGTCCTCTTTGCACCACCCTTCAGGTATTTATACACAAACTGAAACACAAGGTCCCCCTGAAAAGTAGGAAGCACTTTTTTACTGTGAGGGTGAGGTCTTGGACTCTCCATCTTTGGATATATTAAAAAACCCCATCCTAAACATGGTCCCAGGAAACCTGCTTTAGGTGACCTTGCTTGAGCTGAGGCAGGTTGAACAAAATGACCCTTCCAACCTCAACCATCTTCTGCTTCTGTAAAAGCCTAACATTTTTCCTAGTCCAACAAAGCACAGTGGTTGGGCAGGTGCAGATTTAACACCCTTCCCAGAAGCATCAGCTGACCTGTCACTTGAGGTATATTCACAAGCCTCACAGCCCACTCAGATAAGGTTGCAGCCATATCTCACCTCTGGGCAGCAAAACTGTGGCTACAACCCTGGTTGTTTTCACTGTATTTATGTATGGCATTGGTATAAGGAAACTACATGGATTTTTAAGTGAAGGTAATAAGGTACAAATGAAGACGGGCAAAGCATTAATGATTTTCCTAAAGGAGCATTTCTAGACTACTGGGAAACAACTTTTTTTAATAAATAAATCTGCCTTTTAAAATTATAAACCAACCACAAACAGTAGAGCTCCATTGATCACAGATCACACACCTGTAAACTTTCCCTCCTTGTCTACCTTCTCTTGATTGGTTATTATACTCTGGGTACTATGTTATTAAGTTGCATATTCTTATCCTCATTGTCAACAAAAAAATGTCAATTCATTCCACAAAGTATGGATGTTTCTCTGTTCTCAAACACTAAAGCTTTCAAGAGCTTGTCAGAAAAAAGTAAGCATATGTGTACATATGCATACACAGGTAATTATACAGTTTGCTCTTTATCTGCATTACATACAGTATTTCTGTGAAACAGGACAATTTTACTATATTACATTCATCACTAAAGGTTATCATGCTGCTTCTTAACTCATTCCAGTGAACTGAAATAGCTAAAAGCAAAAAAATTTCTGGAACCATCTTACACAAGTCATCATGCAAACATCCCATCCAGAGACTTAAAAAAAAAATGTTCATCATGTCTGAATATTCCAGAGAGGATCATTTCTAGCACACAAATGAAAAATACCATTATTATATTTGAAAGGGGAGGTGTATTTGTACGTCTTTTAAGTTACCTTTGCCCATTTTATTAACAAAGAGTAATATGTGAAAGTTCAGGTTTCTGGAAGGGCCCAAATTAAACTAGAGATAGAAGCTCAGCATTAAGAGCCTCTGGCCACATCTGGAGTCACTGCATGAGCAACTTTTACATGGAATGACTGAAAAATTTCCTTTGATAAAAATAACTACAATCATCTTTGTGAACCAACTGTGCCTCCAACGACACCGACTTTACACACCACATGGCCTTTTCCTGAATATCAATAACAACACCACAAGACAGGTCTCTGGAAGAATACAGATACTCTGAAAGCATACAAGACACAGAACCTCAAGACCAGTGTTCAAATGATAAGCTACTTGTTTGTTCTGCTAGAACACGTCTCCGAGACATATGCTTTTTTCCCATATATTGTCTTCTACTTAGTAGTAGTTCAGTTCATCTTGTATAAATGTTAGGTTTGGTACCCAGCGTCGGGATGATGTTCACTAGTATTAATCCACTCCTCTAAAACATCCATCACTTCACTGCTCTGAACATACTGCATCAAGTTACTCATTCAATGCACATCTTGTATTTCTGTGTATTAAATTTGTTTTCCTGAAACCCTATGGCTATTTAGGCATTTTAAAACTGGTTTTAACTGGACGACTATTACCATACTCCCACTTTTCATAGTTCAATTTTAAAAGTAAAAACAGTGATGTGTAAAATGATAACCCAAATAGCTAACCCAAATAGAAAGGGACAGAGAGTATAAAGAAGTGCTACACCGTATATCTCATAACAGGTGAATATCTGAGATCTTTTTGAATTAGAGGCTTTTAAAACCAAAAAGATAAAACAGGCCAGGTTGCATGATGAAGAATACCCATCAGATGACTGAAGATAATCTTACATACCTAATAGCTTCTGCCATCTTAGTGCTTTCCTTTTTTCTATCATCTGTTAAACGTCGTATAAAATAAATAAAATCAAGACCACAGCAGAAAATGCTACCAACTGCACTGAACAGCACAAGTTTACTGTCATCTGCAGCCGCTGTGTTCAGTGCACTTTGGACTTCCTTCATTACCTGAAAGATAAAAATTTCATAAGAATTATTTTAATCCATCATTAAAAAGTAGCATGTTTTTCTCTTCCCTTCCTCCCACCGTGAGATCTTTGACATCTTTAATTTTTCCTTAGGGTCCACTCAACCATCATATTAGAAAAGCTAACTTTCTTCATTATCAAAAAAAAGAAAGTTAAAGTGTTAGAAGCTTTGCATTTAAAAATGTAATTAGACTGAGATAATTAAATCATTAAGGAAAGATCTATTAGATGTTATCTGTAACTAAAGCACTCATTCAGCATTTCTGTAATTTGGACAGCAGATGGCACATGCAACCAGTATAGAAAAAAAAATAACCTTAATTGAGGCTAAAGCTTTTTTCAAGTTGCACTTTGTAAATCACTCCATGTCTTATGAAAGACAGTACATCTACACTGCCAGATAACAGTTTTTAAACTCAAGTGAACTATGCATAAAGTCAATTGTACTTGTAACATCTTGCAAGAACCTATATCTTGTTTTGCATACATTTGTGCCTGAATAAGAGGCATAAATGAGGCAAGGACTTCAAACTCCCCCAGCACCCTTCCCCTCCCAAAATGAGAATTGTTCTGACCTCTGGATTTAATGAATTATTTTCAGATGATTTTGTTGATAGCAAAATATGTGTGAATCCATCTTGTTTCCTGACAACAATGTCTCTGTACCGGTATGCACTCTCCGTTTGTCTCACGCTGAAACGTAGCCTTTTATCAAAAGGTTGATCTCTCCTGTCATCAATAAACCTTCGTTTGCTGGCTGTCACTCCTGTTACAGACGTCTGTATGTTGGTTGTACCATTGGCTGCTAATGCTTCCATAAAAGTGGATGCACCTGGAAACAGTTTAAACAAGAACAATTACATTTTATTAGCCCACCAGTCTCAAAATCCCTATTAGCATGAAAATGCTAAGAAAATGCAAAGTCATATTGAGAACACACAGTAAATTTGAAACCCAGTGCCCTGGAAGTTACTGAAACAGACACTGTGCACAGAGCAAAATTAAAGTGACAAAGGGATTCAAGAAAGTAATTTTACAGTTTAGAGAAAATACATTTAAAACGACGCCAAACAGACCAATCATCATATACTTATTTTTAGACGGAGAGAAAGGTGTATTTAACCTTCCTAATACCAATGTACTTCAGTTGGTTAACACTCTGCCTTCTCCCTGTCCAACATTTTAAAGTCGTTTAACAGCATCAACATTGTGAAGAGAAAGCATAAGCTTATTTTTTTCAAATGTCAGAAGTTAATATACAGAAGAAAAAGACACAATAAACCAAATAAAGAACTTCACTGACAAGATAATATAAAGCACAATAGTCTTTAAAGAAAAATGGAAATGAAGAAATACAGACTATAGTTCTTTGAGAGGGAAGTAAGATCCATGTGGTGATGGATATTTTAATGGATTCATAGACAATAAGATATTTTTCATGTTAAACAATTTTTGTTACTTTTAAAAATTAAATTACATAAATAAAACAAATATTTAATTAAAGAAATTTAAATTATTTTAAATTTATTTTGCTATTATTGGTAAATGGAGCATTAAGTCTTTCCGGTCTTGTTCCCAGTCACTTACATAGACAGAATTTGAAGGCATGCAAATAAACAGGTCGTTCCTCATGTCACAGAAGGGAGAGGTTTTTATGTACTCCACATTAGAAACATAATACCAAATAATTACCATTCATAAAAGAAAATAAGAGAACACATTAGATCTATAATTCATCTGTAAGTTTAGGCCTCCATGTAAAATCTCCATAGAATTTGTCATACTAAAGTAATGGAGTATGCTTAGGGGGAGGGACAGGAGGGTTAAAAATATGGGAAAGTGTGTTACAGGCCAAGACAGAAAAGTTTTGAAAGACTTTTTCTGAAAGCTGATGTCTGAGATTAAAATCTACTGGAAATCCACAGCTCTTATCTTACTAACAGGCACTTCAGAACGCCATACATATGAGGTCTTTAAAAGTAGAGTTAAACGATGTATAAGTAAGTTGATAATTAAATGTCATTGATGGATCTTGCTTAACTCATCATTATCATTCTAAAAAAGTTAGAGTTCTAATAGTAGGCAATGCTATGATTTTAATATTTTGTTTTAATTAGAACATACTTTTAACACTTGTGGGTCCAATGAAGATGTTACATAGGCTCACCCAGGTAACTGGAATATCCCATGTCTTGATATTTTCACTGTATTCAAATACTGCTTACTTTAACCCATATGAAGTATGAGAGAGACAATAAGAGACTAACACAATCAAAATTTAGAACATTATACATTTTCCTATTTGTATTTCAGAAATTGCCTTCAGATATAAATGAACTTTTCATATAAAATATTTTAAAATAAACATTTTATTATAAATCTGTTATGAATTATTAGGCAAGTTGCCTCTTACAAGAGCTATGAAATAATAAGGTTTTTATTTTAATTTTTAAGGTCTTTCTCATTGCAATAGTGATTTAATTCTCTCACCACATCACTTTTTGTGAAGAAGTTAAAGACAACTCTGGATTTTTTAGTTGTTTAGAGTGAAGAGTAAGAAACTGGATTCAGTTTGTGATCAGTTTCAGAGGCAGAGATGAACAAAATTAATCAGAAAATTAATATTTTATACTGTCAAAAAAGTTTCAGATTTGTTCCCAAATTTTTCATGGCTTATGAAAAATTTCCCACGACTCACACTTCCAAAGCCATACTCAAACACCAGAAAAATGACTTCTGAGATGTAAGAGGCAATGATTATATACTTTGAGAGACAAAACTTCTGGCAAGAGAGACCAAGACGTAAACACCACAGGCCTCTTTTCATGCTTCTTGAACTGGCAAGAGACCTTCTGAGTTTTTATATAAATGCTGTTTACACTTGTCAACAGTTGCAGTTTCAAACCACAAGCTGCAGTACAGTGGAAGAATACTCCCATATGGAATACTGAAAACACACTTTTAGGATCCTTAGACTGGGATAAAAAAACTGTTAACTTTAGAAACCACACCTCTGTGCAGGGAGACTCAGCCAGCTGGTGCGGATCAGAAAATGGCACCAAAGGAGTTAAAACAGGTTGGTTAGTGTTTGTCATTACCCTTCAAGTTTGGGACCTCGTACACCTGGCAGCACAGGGGGCTCTTTCTTTTAGCATTTGATCCTCGGGGGTGAAGAGACAACGAAGAGAGACATAAAGCAGTGCTTCATGCTACATATACAATGGCAAAGGTTGTTTTGCTGCACATCTTGGACATGTGTTGCAGAAAATGAGGACAAAATAAGAAAGTGCCATTGAGAATTAACTGTACTGCCACAGATTTCCTCGCATGAAAACTTTGCATTGAGGTTATTTATCTTCAGGTTAATTACAACTACATTTTAATGTTTTAACATAGGATTTCATAACAAACCAAAAGCAGTTCTGCATTTTAATACATATAAAAGACAAAACAACACAGCCCACTCTTTTCAAACTGAGTGTCCAAAAAAAAATAAGGGCTTGGAAAAAAGACAGTTTACCCTGGATATTGTCAACTAGTTCAGGACCATGTTTGTTTAAGAGGTAAACAAACAGCTTATAGTTATAAAAAACTGTTCCACTTGCAAACCGCTAATGTAATGTGATCTCAGAGGTGAAGACACACTACAACTGCACAAAGCCAAAGCCTTTTTTGTACAGATACAAAATGAAATTAAGAGGACTACTTTGTGTTTTTTTGGTTTTCGATCAGCAGCTGCTGATCAAAACCTGGTAACAGTCACCAATTTCATGCAGCTGCCCTTGGAGGGGGAGAAAAAAGAGCTATGAGTAAGAGATAAGAAAGGAACTGGTCTTGTCCAGGGGAAGACAGGCACAAAATACCAGTGTTAGAAAAGGGGCAGAACAAAGGCATCATCATCTGCATTCCACTGTCGGAAGCCAGAAAAAAAGAAACCTCTCCAAAATGTGAGCGGGATAATTAAAACACATGATGCCAGATATCAGAGTTTAAAACAAAGTAAATAATACAGGACTCCACAACTGTCCAAAGTTACAATCCCAAGCACCTCTAAGATATTTGTGCCTCACTGTTACTGTCTCCTAAATTCTTGAGAAGTTCAGTTTAGTTTACACGGCAAACTTTGAATACAAACACTCCCCTCCCTGCAACAATACTGCAGACACATGCAAAGAGATGCTCTAAAACCAGCCAAGTTTTTTTGCATGCTTCTTTTTGGGTACACAGGTGCTAGTACTGGTGCTCTTTATTCAAAGATATAAGTGACAGAGTATGCCATTTCTGAAAGACATAGATGCCTAAGGAACAAGTATAAGAACTTGGGAGGTGTGAACAATACTGTCCAACTATTTTAAGTCCAGCCATCAGAAACGTAGCAATTACTAAAATTTGCATGCCCAGAATCATAGGCTGCAACAAATCCCATGTAAATAAACTCTTCTCCCCCATGGGATTGTCCAATTTACTTTTGAAACCACGATGGATTTTTCTTCTGAAGTACCTTTCAGCAGCAAGTTCTACAAGATACATCTTGACTTTCTTCATCTCTTTCATCAGAGATTGATTAGCTCCCATCTTATTTCCCCTTTCTTCTTCCAGAAGACAGCCTAAGACTGTCCATTCCTCTCCATGCCTCTTCCTCTTCTACTAAATCTTGGAACAGTATGTAAAATGGCACACAATATTCAATACGGGGATTTTTGTTTAAACTAGGACCGAACAGATGTTTGCAGAAAACTACCCAAAACAAACCCAATGCCCTTTTCCTGAGCAGCAGCATGAACTCAGGAAATAGTCACTGATTTATGTTTTGCTATAGGCACAGGTTTTACACATAAGTCTGTTTTGTTCCCTCCTCATTGCTTGGCATTCATCTGCACTGAAAGTCATCCCTTATTTTAAATCACAAAATCACTCACTATTTTCAGAGAAGCCTTCCGTGTTTAAAAGGAGGTTCAAGGATTCACATACATTTTCTATACCTTGATGCATCAACCACATCCTCTTCTACAGTAAGTGATGAAGGGGTTAATAAGCATCCCACTTGAATAAGCAAATGAACAAACACCAGCAGCAATAATGTCTTAAAGTGTTAACTGCAAAAATAACACTTCAGTGGTAACTGAGTACAACTCAAGTACCAGACAGGGAACAATATGATCTGGAACACTGACTGGAAAAAAAATTGAATTTTCAATGAAAAAAAAAAAAAAACACCAACCAAAAAACAACCCTAACAAAAGAACAAACCAGTGTTAGAAGTAAGTTGAATTTTTTTTAAATCCTTTCCATACTTTCACTGCTTTATTGTTCCCTGTATATATAATCCAAATGACTTCACATCAGTTGTCCAGTGCATTTTTTTGTCTGCACACAGGGGTGTGTTCATATGTACTAGCAAGCTCTAACTATAAACACTGTTAAGCTTTTCCAGTCTTAACTCTGCACTACATCAAATATTTCACACAAGACACAGATCCTGGACAGCAATGGGAAAATGCAAATGCAAACATAATATATAACAGTTTCCAGTAATTTTTCCACCTCTGCTTTAGAAATGACACAGAAAATATCTTAGAATTCTAGTGTATTGGCACAGATTATAGAAAATAAATATGAGGGTTCTAAACCTGCTATGTACTTGTCCATTTTTTTGTCTAAGTATATATATTAATAGCATTTACATTTTGGAATCAAACAGAAGTTCTACCTTCCTTTGAAACATCACTATAAATATTTGTAATTAAAAGAATGTCTCGATTTATTGTACATTTCACCTAAAATGATTATTTGCTCTGTGTTTCTGAAAGAGTGTTCAGAAAGGATGAAAAT